TACTTGTTCTTTTTCATCTCTGTTATTTTCTTTACACTGCTCTCTGTGGATACGACACTCGGACTTCCGAGCTACACTGCTATACGACACCTCCCTTGGGTTTTGCAAAGTGGTCCGAACAAACATGCTTCAAAGTAATGGAGCTGAGGTTCCAGTTTCAAAGGGAGACAAACTAAGCAAAGAAGATTGTCCAAGGAATGACGTAGAAAGGGCAGAAATGAAGGACAAACCATATGCTTCTGTAGTAGGAAGTATCATGTACGCACAGGTGTGCACACGACCTGATCTAGCATTTTCCATTAGTGTATTAGGCAGGTATCAATCTGATCCGGGCATTGCACATTGGAAGGCTACAAAGAAAGTGTTGAGATATATGCAAAGAACAAAAGGACATATGTTAGTCTACAAAAGAACAGATAGCTTGGAGTTGGTTGGTTACACAGATTCAGATTTTGCAGGATGCAAAGACACTTCTCAATCAACTTCCAGTTTTGTGTTCATGATGGGAGGAGGTGCAGTAGCTTGGAAGAGTGCAAAACAACCATCTATAGCTACATCTACTATGTTTGCTGAGTACTTGGCTTGTTATGAAGCTACTTCACATGCTATGTGGTTGAAGAATTTCATAAAAGACCTAAAAGTAGTTGATTCTATAGAGAAGCCTATTCAGCTGTTTTGTGACAATAAAGGAGCAGTGTTCTTTTGCAAGAACAATAAAAGGTCTGCTGGACTCAAGCATATGAAAGTGAAGTATTTGCTAGTAAGAGAGAAGGTTCGAGAATGCTTAACCACTGTTGATTATATCAACACTACAGAAATGATAGCAGATCCCTTAAATAAAGCAATTCCAAACAATGTTTTTCATAGGCATGTGACCAATATGGGATTACTGTCCAGTTTCGAAGATTCTTTGGTCTAGTGGGAGTTGATGACTTGTTCTCATTTCAGCTATTTTGTTTAAGTTTTATGTTTGTTGTTTGAGCTAGTTTTTTGTCTTGACTTCTGGTTAAATTATTCTGGAACATTTTGGATTCTTAAATGAATATTGATTCAATTTCATTGATTTTGCAATATGATTACAGTTTACAGTTCAAGTTGTAAAATTATTTAAGCTGCAGGTAAGATCATATGTATAAACATATTGATCATAAAGAGGACCATTCGCATGATGAATGAATAACTTCAAAGTTTTGATTATTCATCATGTGATGTTGAACATAGCTTGTTGGTACTCTATGTATATGTTACTGCTTGCTGTGATTATAGGTGGATGATACCATGAAATGGTTATCGTGTCTATAGTCCTTTGAGTTGGTAATATTTGACAGTGAGTTTGATATAGATATTGTTATCAAGCTGTCTTTCCAAATTGTGCACATAAGGTTATGATCCTTGATCTTTAAAGAAGAGTTTTAAATGGATGTTTCACTCAAGTGGGAGAATGTAAGAACTCTATTTGAGTTCACATCCGTTTAGGAATCCAACTTGATCAGGGATACAAGGGAGAGATAAGCTGGATATACACGGATAAGTTTGATAGAGTTGGAGCTCTATCTCACTTGTGGAATATCTATTATATTAGGCTATGGACTCTTAAGGTGATAAGGATAAGCCTTGAGGAATCCTTTATGGGCTAGGAACCTCAAGGCACTCACCATATAAAACTAAGGCTTCGGTCCCCACTCTCATGCACTGAAAAACAGACTCACATTCCTACCCATACAGGAGAGAATCAGAGTGCATAGAGAGAGGAAGACCAAGGCTAGTTCGTGGGTTTTGCTGCTGTTGCTGTGCTTGCTCTAAATGGCTTCTCAAGGTTAGTGCTTATAGATTACATGTGATATAGAACTTACAGAACAGCTAGCAAAAAGAATCCATGTATATATAACTTTATTCTTTTGAGTGGAAGATCAGTGAAACAGGATTTAGATCATTTTATGCACCTGTAGAGTGGAGCCGAGGGGAAGTTTCCGCCGTTTTTGGTATTGCTCCTGCACACGATACTAGAGATTAGAAAAAGCCTGAAAGATGAGTTTATGCAAATCTCCAACAAAATGATCCTGCACAACACCCAGAGAGAGGCTCATATTCCTCATATTAATCCATATTTCACCAAAGCCAAACCGACTCTAAACCTTTCTAAATCCTAACATCAAACAATAAAAGCTTCAAAAGGTGCTGCATCACAACCACAGGGAATGCTTCCAAAAACATAAATGATAAAGGAGGAGGGGGAAGAAAAATAAGTCTTGTCACCTTCTCGATGCGAAATTTTGAGCAAAGCCCAGTAGATCCATGCCCAATCATCAGGATCACAGGACACGGCCTCAGTGTTCTTAGTGCCTGAATTCAAAATGCTGTGCACATCAAATACTAATACAAATAGCTCACATAAATAAATAAAATCAGCATACATATTTTTTTTAATATTAATTAAAGATAGATAAACTTAACCATATATGCAGGAACACCTATTGCGAGAAGTAGCAGAAGCATCCTAGCCCTGAGATTCATATACAGCGGGTTTCCTCTAGCCTTACTGCTCAGTGAAGCTGTCATGGAACACTCAACCTGATCACCGTACATAAATTAGAAATACAAAAATCTGATTAATCTATATACAAGCTCAACACAAGAGATAATATATATGACATAAATTACCAGATTCAGTGTGCATGAAATACCATAACTTTCTAAAGCCGATTTCACGGTGGGCCAATTTTTTTGCAGTTTTGGTCCTGCACAAAAAAATGCAAGGGATCATAGCTCATAAATCACTCAATTGTTCTCTGAAATTATTTGAATAATAATGATAATGTGAAATAGTGAAGCCCTAATAATTCAAAACTTGCAATTGCAGAGGAGGAAGTTACTTCTGCTTTCAGGGAAGGCCCTAGAGAAAGGAACTTCAAAGCTGTTCTTGCTGGGCCAGACTTGTCGGTTTCCATCTGATCGACCTTTGCATCTTCGTTCATCGGCTTCGACTTGGTTTCCGCCGTTTTTGGTATTGCTCCTGCACACGATACTAGAGATTAGAAAAAGCCTGAAAGATGAGTTTATGCAAATCTCCAACAAAATGATCCTGCACAACACCCAGAGAGAGGCTCATATTCCTCATATTAATCCATATTTCACCAAAGCCAAACCGACTCTAAACCTTTCTAAATCCTAACATCAAACAATAAAAGCTTCAAAAGGTGCTGCATCACAACCACAGGGAATGCTTCCAAAAACATAAATGATAAAGGAGGAGGGGGAAGAAAAATAAGTCTTGTCACCTTCTCGATGCGAAATTTTGAGCAAAGCCCAGTAGATCCATGCCCAATCATCAGGATCACAGGACACGGCCTCAGTGTTCTTAGTGCCTGAATTCAAAATGCTGTGCACATCAAATACTAATACAAATAGCTCACATAAATAAATAAAATCAGCATACATATTTTTTTTAATATTAATTAAAGATAGATAAACTTAACCATATATGCAGGAACACCTATTGCGAGAAGTAGCAGAAGCATCCTAGCCCTGAGATTCATATACAGCGGGTTTCCTCTAGCCTTACTGCTCAGTGAAGCTGTCATGGAACACTCAACCTGATCACCATACATAAATTAGAAATACAAAAATCTGATTAATCTATATACAAGCTCAACACAAGAGATCATATATATGACATAAATTACCAGATTCAGTATGCATGAAATACCATAACTTTCTAAAGCCGATTTCACGGTGGGCCAATTTTTTTGCAGTTTTGGTCCTGCACAAAAAAATGCAAGGGATCATAGCTCATAAATCACTCAATTGTTCTCTGAAATTATTTGAATAATAATGATAATGTGAAATAGTGAAGCCCTAATAATTCAAAACTTGCAATTGCAGAGGAGGAAGTTACTTCTGCTTTCAGGGAAGGCCCTAGAGAAAGGAACTTCAAAGCTGTTCTTGCTGGGCCAGACTTGTCGGTTTCCATCTGATCGACCTTTGCATCTTCGTTCATCGGCTTCGACTTGTCTTGTCTTCTTGCTGCTCATCGACTCCGTTCTTGTTGTTGTCCATTCATCTCGCCGTTCTCGCTGTGCTGCTCGACCATGCACAAATAACTTAATCAAGTAACTTAATTTAAGCGTAATATACTATATATAGGGTTATATGTGCATAAATATAGTACCAATTTCAAAATAAAATAATTATTATTTATATAATACTAAAAAAAATTAAGAACCTAGCTTAGCTACGGTTTCATACTAGGTAAAGTTTTCGTTATGACACTGTTCACACAAAAACACATGTACATTAGAGACATTTTTTTGGGCCCTAGGGTTCGTTGGATTGATTGCCATGGAACATTTTCACCCACAAAAGAAATTGGTGGAACAGAGCACATATGTGTGGAATTGGGACTTTGAAATTGAGCTAAATTAATGAGCCTGGCTACTTTTATTTCTTGCCATGTTCGATAAGCCTACATTGACTCCTAAGGCTATATAATATGTTTACTCAGTCAGCTGTATTAAATTTAGAATCAAAAGCATTACATTTCTATGAAGTCAACAAAGAAGATAACTTGCTAATGGAGTCTAATCTAATGAAAAGTGGCCTTAACTTTTAGATTAGTGGTCTTTGCTTCAAACCCTATTACACGTTGCAGTGTGTGGAAAATCCCCTCCATTTTAACTTTGCTATAAAAAAACAAAGAAGATAACTTAAAAAAGAAACAAATATTTTGTGCAATTTGACTGTGCTGTGATGTACAATTCTCTTATCTACTTCCCATTCTTACTTGTTCTCTGAAATAATTTGAATAATAATAATAATGTGAAATAGTGAAACCCTAATAATTCAAAACTTGCAATTGCAGAGGAGGAAGTTACCTCTGCTTTCAGGGAAGGCCCTAGAGAAAGGAACTTCAAAGCTGTTCTTGCTGGACAAAGGAGGGCCAGACTTGTCGGTTTCCATCTGATCGACCTTTGCGTCCTCGTTCATCGGCTTCGACTTGTCTTCTTGCTGCTCGACGACGCCGTTCTTGTTGTTGTCCATCGTCTCGCCGTTCTCGCTGTGCTGCTCGACCATGCACAAATAACTAAATCAAGTAACTTAATTTAAGCGTAATATACTATATATAGGGTTATATGTGCATAAATATAGTACCAATTTCAAAATAAAATAATTATTATTTATATAATACTAAAAAAAATTAAGAACCTAGCTTAGCTACGGTTTCATACTAGGTAAAGTTTTCGTTATGACACTGTTCACACAAAAACACATGTACATTAGAGACATTTTTTTGGGCCCTAGGGTTCGTTGGATTGATTGCCATGGAACATTTTCACCCACAAAAGAAATTGGTGGAACAGAGCACATATATGTGTGGAATTGGGACTTTGAAATTGAGCTAAATTAATGAGCCTAGTTACTTTTATTTCTTGCCATGTTCGATAAGCCTACATTGACTCCTAAGGCTATATAATATGTTACTCAGCTGTATTAAATTTATAATCAAAAGCATTACATTTCTATGAAGTCAACAAAGAAGATAACTTGCTAATGGAGTCTAATCTAATGAAAAGTGGCCTTAACTTTTAGATTAGTGGTCTTTGCTTCAAACCCTATTACACGTTGCAGTGTGTGGAAAATCCCCTCCATTTTAACTTTGCTATAAAAAAACAAAGAAGATAACTTAAAAAAGAAACAAATATTTTGTGCAATTTGACTGTGCTGTGATGTACAATTCTCTTATCTACTTCCCATTACCAATTTGACAGTGCCAGTCAATAAAACTAGAAAAGTAGTCCTTACAGTTTGATATGGTCTTACTGTACAAACTGTCAATCATACAAAAGGCATGCCTGCGCTTGACTGACTTTCGCTCTATGAGCATCAAAATAAAATTGAGACGGGAACATACATCCCTATTAATTATCGATGATTAGGTTAAATACATACTATTAATATTGTAATTTAATTAATTAAAACCAGCATCTTTCTCTATAAATAGAGAACAACCATCGCATGAGTAATTGGGAGATCATAATTATCCTTCTATATATTTTCTGCTCTTGTTCACCTTGATTGTGTTGATCCTCCGCCCTTTCCATCCCTTGTACACTTTCATTTTCTTGATCATACTTCACCATTTATGCCTCTTCTTCACCATTGTCTCATGACAATATATGAAGAAGAGGTCGAATTGGGGCGGGATTACCATGACAAAAGTGAACAAGAGATGGAAGTGGTGGATGATCATCATGACATGAAGATAAACAAGGGCAGCATCCTCATGCCAATGATGATCATGATTGGCCTCCAAATGACTTCATCAGCTACAACTAGAGTTGGGACTACAAGAACCGCTTGCACCACTTCGTCCCCACATCTAGGAATTCCTCTATCAATGTTTTTTATAAGAACCATTACTGATGATGGAGTTGCTGGACGTGAGGACGAAGTGGTGGCAGCAGGGTAGTTCTAGCTGATGAACTGCATATGGAGGCCACTCATCATCATACTATCTCCAATCTCTAACATATTTGGCTCATTTTGGATTTCTAATACTATAAACGATGATATTGGGTAGGTAGGCTTTACCAACTCTAACCACAAGAATAATGACCGATGTTTCAACTACTTTTTTTTTTTTCTCGCTGTGCTGCTCGACCATGCACAAATAACTTAATCAAGTAACTTAATTTACGCGTAATATACTATATAGGGTTATATGTGCATAAATATAGTACCAATTTCAAAATAAAATAATTATTATTTATATAATACTAAAAAAATTAAGAACCTAGCTTAGCTACCGTTTCATAATAGGTAAAGTTTTCGTGATGACACTGTTCACACAAAACACATGTACATTAGAGACATTTTTTTGGGCCCTAGGGTTCGTTAGATTGATTGCCATGGAACATTTTCACCCACAAAAGAAATTGGTGGAACAGAGCACATATATGTGTGGAATTGGGACTTTGAAATTGAGCTAAATTAATGAGCCTAGTTACTTTTATTTCTTGCCATGTTCGATAAGCCTACATTGACTCCTAAGGCTATATAATATGTTACTCAGCTGTATTAAATTTATAATCAAAAGCATTACATTTCTATGAAGTCAACAAAGAATATAACTTGCTAATGGAGTCTAATTTAATGAAAAATGGCCTTAATTTGCAGATTAGTAGTCTTTGCTTCAAACCCTATGACACGTTGCAGTATGTGGAAAAACCCCTCCATTTTAACTTTGTTATGAAAAAACAAAGAAATTAACTTAAAAAAGAAACAAATATTTTGTGCAATTTGACTGTGCTGTGGTGTACAATTCTCTTATCTACTTCCCATTACCAATTTGACAGTGCCAGTCAATAAAACTAGAAAAGCAGTCCTTACAGTTTGATATGGTCTTACTGTACAAACTGTCAATCATACAAAAGGCATGCCTGCGCTTGACTGACTTTCGCTCTATGAGCATCAAAATAAAATTGAGACGGGAACATACATCCCTATTAATTATCGATGATTAGGTTAAATACATACTATTAATATTGTAATTTAATTAATTAAAACCAGCATCTTTCTCTATAAATAGAGAACAACCATCGCATGAGTAATTGGGAGATCATAATTATCCTTCTATATATTTTCTGCTCTTGTTCACCTTGATTGTGTTGATCCTCCGCCCTTTCCATCCCTTGTACACTTTCATTTTCATGATCATACTTCACCATTTATGCCTCTTCTTCACCATTGTCTCATGACAATATATGTAGAAGAGGTCGAATTGGGGCGGGATTACCATGACAAAAGTGAACAAGAGATGGAAGTGGTGGATGATCATCATGACATGAAGATAAACAAGGGCAGCATCCTCATGCCAATGATGATCATGATTGGCCTCCAAATGACTTCATCAGCTACAACTAGAGTTGGGACTACAAGAACCGCTTGCACCACTTCGTCCCCACATCTAGGAATTCCTCTATCAATGTTTTTTATAAGAACCATTACTGATGATGGAGTTGCTGGACGTGAGGACGAAGTGGTGGCAGCAGGGTAGTTCTAGCTGATGAACTGCATATGGAGGCCACTCATCATCATACTATCTCCAATCTCTAACATATTTGGCTCATTTTGGATTTCTAATACTATAAACGATGATATTGGGTAGGTAGGCTTTACCAACTCTAACCACAAGAATAATGACCGATGTTTCAACTACTTTTTTTTTTTTTTTTTTTTAAACCTTGGACTTTTGATGATTGCTGCTCCTACCCCATGAAACCTCTGCCCAAATCTTGTCCTGATTCTGAGTCATGTTTCTTAGACTATATACAAATATCAGCCGCAGAGTGTTTTACTTCCTCACCTTTTTTTCTTCTCAAGGCACCCAATGACCCTCTAGATCGTTTCTGAATGATGTTCAAACACGGCGTCGTTCAGGTCAATTAAGGTTGTTGACTTCTGTTAAAATGTGTTTGTAAATTGAAATTGCAGTAATAGAGCAAGCCTTTCTCTTACAAGAATGTGCCCTTGAGACTGAGATTCCCAAAGTTGACCAACTGGTGATTTTCTAGCGCACAACTTTCAGCAAATCAACATGTCATTTGGGCTAAGTTTTGCAGATGTATTGTATTTGATTTATTGTACTTTCAACTACTATTACAAGTGTGAAACCTATTATCTGGTCCAATTTTGTGTATAATAATAATATTTTTGACTAAAGTAGAGTGGTTGATCAAAAAGAAAATGTATCCATCTCCCGACCTATTCACAACTGTCCAGTCAATCTCGACACAAATTCAGGTCATGAGCTTCAGTTTGCCACTCCTTGATCCACTGTCACAAAAACAGAAGCAGGAACAGCCACATTCGACTCGATCACAACTCGATTATTCGACACATTCCTCAGGGCATGGTTAGGGAACGCATTGCCGCCGGTGCTTAACGTGTACTGCACATGCTTAATAAGGTTAGGAAATAGAAGAACTGGGTTAAAGTCTATGGTCCAGGAGGTGCCATTGCTTTGCACAGACCTCCTTCCAACTGTGCTCTTTATGTTCATCCCCCTCACATTGTTCCTGTCCACAACAATTTGTCCAATGTCCTTGAAAGGCCCCTTTGATTGGTCCAATTGAACAATTCCAACCCCATTATTGGACCCACTAAACATGTTGTTAACAATATTGACCCCATTAGCAACTCCCTTTATTGATTTTAGCACAATGTAAGCATCACCAAGGAAGAAAGTGTTTGAGATATCAAGCTGCACTGGATCTTCAGCAACTATACCAGTGTAATCCAAGTAAGAATTCACAATCCGGGTTTGCGTCAACCCAGGCAGTCTCAGATAAATTCCAGTGCCCCCAAATCCAGTGGCCTTGTTGTAGCAATGTACTCCGGAAAGTATGTTGGCCGGACCCGAAATCATTATACCTACAGAAGCAGAAAAAATCACCACATCTGTCACAGCATTGTCGTTGCCCATTAGGTTGATTGCCGTGCCCGAAAAGTTCCTTTCTCCGTGATCACCACCTGCGGTGATGTGCTGGCCTAGGAAGGAATTTCGGATGTAGGTTTCATGGCCGCTTTGGACTAAGATCCCATTGGTGGTGAAATGAGTTATGTAACAATTGTCTATGCTGGTCCTAAGTGAGTTTATGACTGAAATGCCCCCACCCCTGTAGTTAGAGTCTAACATGAGGTCCCTTAGGGTTATGTACTCATAGTTGTAGGATGAGGATGAAGAAAGCTGTGCAGAAATTGAGCTCTCATAAGTTTTTTCATTCTCGTTAGGTGATGATGAAGCTGATAAATCAATCAGGTACCCATTAGTTGGAAAATCATCCGAGGCTCGTAATGTTCCTCCATGAATCTGTTTCATCAAAATAAATAAATAAAAACTCAAATGAAACATCAAATCACATAAACCTAACACAGAATGAAAATTGAAAGTCATCATGTTGCCGTGTATTTGATTAACAATTGGAAAACACATGTTAGACTATATGATCATTGGTGACTCCCTTGTGCCAATGCCGAAC